CAAGCGCCGAAGGTGGCGACATGTCCCAGCTAATGAATGTTATCTAGGAGAAAACTAATGTGCATGTGAGTTCTTTCCTTATGTGTGTGAAGGATGACGCAATGGTTCTGTTGATTGGCTTGGCCGACGCTGCTGACGACCTTCGGCTATGCTGCAGTCCCAGGGACCGAGTTGGAGCAGACTTCTACTTTCAGGATCGGATGGAAAGACAGCGCGACGGAGCGGCAGCAAGACATCTTCACCTGACCAGCAAACCAATCATGCTTCGTCATTGAACTGACCGCTACTAACGGAAGCGAGATGTACGTCTGTCGAGGATGCCACAACGGGAAAGAACATTCCCATCCTTGTGTCTGCCGGAGTGCCCCTCAAGTGGGTGTAGGAGTGTGACCTAACTCAGTGGAGGAGTCGGACTGAATGCACTATGACTATGTCAAACACCAAAATTCAACGAAATAATGTTCATCAAGTGTTAATGACATTTAATTCTAATGGGAGAAATTCTGGAATATTGATTCTAGTATGTGATTACATCTGAAGCCTGAAATAACTCAGTGTAACGAGACTTTGTGTACTGGGCAATGGGAAATGTATAATGTATAACTACTCCCCAAACTTTATGTAGGTTCCATGTGCTGCCTGTAATAGCTGGAGGGGCATATTGGACTTTAAAAGGAAGGGGGAATGAGAGATACAGGATATATATGCATTACGAATACGTTATACTATTGGCTGTGTGGAACACCTGTTTATGTATCTATACCCGCAGGTTATATGATCACATTTCTGCACGAGTTATATATTGGTGAATCATGGCCGAGGGGCCGAATGTATTAGGATGAATTCACGGACGATTACGTCACCCACGTGGCACAGAATGAATCCTTTTACTATATATAATATTCTGGGAGGTTGTAATTGTTGATTAATTCTGATCGCGTGTGGACTGATCATCCTGAAATTCAGATCAATCGTCCACGATTCACCCCGAATGTTACTAAACTGCACGAACATGTTATTTACCGATCCCCTGTAAAACCTAATTTTGCCATAAATAACTTGGGTTCATAAAAAGAAGCCAGGATGTTCATCTGGGCCATTAGATCGGCATACAGGATGCTTATCTTGGTTTCGGGAGATAGGGCGGGGGGGGGGGGTCGGTATACAGCACCCTATATTGCCTGGGGGGAAGGGGTGAGCCTGGCCAGCTTACCCCCTGCCCACACGCAACACTAAATTTAGTATAAAGGAAGGGGGAGATTCCAGTACTTACCGGAGCTCAGCCGTGGGATAGAGCGCGCATCGCCCGGCACTTTCCCAACACGTGGTCTCCTGCCAGGACTGAAAAGGGCTCCCCAGTCCATGTGTGAAGGTGGGTGATGATGGCACGTCCGAGTGTAAATAGTTTTGCAGCTGCTTATACGTTTAATTGACTAATGGGGATTAATTATCACCGCTCGTGATAATAATTTGCATTGTCTATATTTTATTATTTGTTTTCTATATATATTAGTTCGTATGATATATACTATTCTATATCCCTTGTAGTACGAGGTTATTTTGTATTACATTCGATACGATAGCTTGGTATTGATGTTAATGCGAGGTTATTTTGTACTAATTATTAAAGTGTTTTTTTGAGTGAACCTAAGCGTGCCTTTTTGTTCTTTCGAGAGCCCTATATCCCTCTCATCCAAATTTTAATACACACACACATACATTCTCCAGCCCTTTGCACTCCCTACATGAAACGTCCATTTTCATTAACATTTCGGATACTTTTTACCGGGCTGGACAGAAGCTAATCTGACCTCTTTCCTCAATCTTTTCCTGGGCCACGTCTCCCTCCTCAACCTCCTCCTCCTCCGTATCTCCCTGAATCGCTAATTCTGCCTCCTCCTCCGGCCCTGCACCAGCTGCTGCAGCAGTAAAACTTGTGGTGGCAAACATTTTGGTAAGTTGTGCGCATTTTAATGCGTCCATTTGAAGGTTTTTTTTTGCCTTTTCTCTCTGAGCTTTTCTGCACCCCCCTGTGCTTTTTCGGTTTGTCCATAGCCACTCCTCTCCAACTCCAGTCAGCTCAAATGGCAAAATTTGATAACCTTGGTTAAAAAGGGGAGGCAGGGAGGGGCGGGCCGAGGGAGGCTGAGAGATTTCATTGGATTAGCCCAATGTACGTCAAGAAAATCAACCAATGGGACATCGCAGTCGATAAAAATTATTCATAATATACTTTTTTTGGGTAAATTACCGGCCCAAAAATGTGCGTCGGCCCACCGAGCATTGCCCGGTACGCCAGATGGCCAGTCCAGTCCTGGATTAAAACACATGCCACATGCCGTAGCAATATATGGGCTACATCACATCCTAGTGGCCAAAACATATAAACGAAGTGGCCCAGAAGGACCGAACTAGGCTCAAATTGATCAGTTTATATTGACAGAATATAAATATTAGTCCTTCATGCTGTCACGTTCTGCATATTTTAGTAGTTTAATATAATTTTTTTATTATATATTTTAAGTATAATATACATACCCAAAGTGATTTCCCTGCCATTTCTTTCAGGCCACACAACTGGCAAACATCATTAACTGGCTCTGTTATTTGGAAGATGGTATATCATTTTTGACTTAATTTCTACTTTTCTATTTCACAGAAATTGAGACTAAATGACCAAGACCAAGAGGACTAAACTAACTATTCTGTAGTTTTGTAACATGTATAATTTTATTAAAAAAAAATTCACAAATCAGACTGATCAATTTGAGCCTAGTTTGGTCCTTCTGGTTCACTTTGTCTGGGTGTTTTGGCTACTGGTCTGTGATGTAGCCCATGTATTGCTATGGCATTGGCCATATAAGTAAAAATATGGAATTTAATCGAAGTGGAAACAAAAGAACAGGCAGAAACGCAGGCTGACATTACAATGACCGCACTGAGGAAACAAACGGCAACGCAGACTAAATATATTGGGCTAATGACAACGATCAGAAACAGCTGGTAAACACGGGGAATCCACATGGGGTTAATGAGGGGGCGTGGCACACGGAAGGAGCGAACGATCGGGGCAGGACACACACTGCCGGTTCAGTGTCTGTCTGTGTCTGTCTCTGCCCCCACTGAGGGCAGCAGGCCCTTTATCTATGGTCTTCGTACAGTCTTCTAGAGCCAGGGGGTCAGACGGCCTTTGTGAGAGTAAGTTGCATGAGATAAGCAAAGAACATAATGAGCGAATACCAAGGACAGAATGAAATGTAAAAATAAGAAATATGAAAGCCACATGGCAGCCAGGGGAACAGGGAAAAACACTAGGAGATAAGCACAAAGGATGGCCAGCAACATCTGCTTGGCAAACAGAGAACAGCATACTGAACGGAACAGGACAGGGACTGATCCTGACAGGTTTGTTTGTCATTTGTACAAGTATATTGGAATGTGTTAGTTCTCGCATGTCCGTCTTGATTCCCGTCGGCACTTGACTCCCGTCGGTTTTGGTCAGTTTAGCAGGTTGAATCATCGTCAGTGGTAGGCGGTGAAACTTAGCTCTCTGATGGGGCTGTATGTTAGCTGTCACCTCTAATTGTTGGCATGGCGGAGTGATAGACGATCCAACCTGCGGTTTACAAAACAATGGTCTTTACTGGAAGCTGAACTCAAAAAACAAGAAACAAAAAGGAAGCACAAAGGGTCTAACAAAGGCGGGAGTAAAAGTAGAACTACACATGCTATAACTGACACAACAGAAAACTAACACTACAAGGTCATTTAGTAACAAGCAAGAACGGCACACAGGAACCAAGCAAGGAGTGACGCAGCAACACAGAAACAAACACAATGACCGGCAGGGAAAGAAAGTGAGGGTAGGCACTTCAAAACAGAGATAATGAGGGCTACATGAGGGACAGGTGCAGACTATAACAATTAATCAAACACTGGAGCTGGGAACAACAAGATACAGGTGAGAGTCATTAACAAATACTAAGGGTTCAAACACTAGGCAATATCAGGATTACAAGACTTGCAAAACTGGAACATAAGCAGGAATAAACTAAAGTACAAAACAAGGAACCATGTCAAAACAAGAAAATGAACAAAATATAGGATATAGGGTACAAAAACACAAAAATATCCAACAACCAATGATGAAATGCTCAGTGGTAACTGTCCACTGCACAGCAGGCTGAAGAACTGGGGAACATACTAGGAACAGAATATACCTGGAAAATGAGAGATGGGATGGCCAGTGACACCTGCTGGCCAAACAGGGAGAAAACAGACTGAATGGGGCAAGATTGGGACAAATCCTGACAGTTCCCCCATCTCTACATGCAAACTTCAGGCATGCAAGGTACTGCCAGAACCAGAACAGAGACAGGGAACATAAAACCAATGACAAGGAACAACAGAGCTAGACATAGAGACTAATGAAACTGAGGGACAGGGCAAATTGGAACTGGAACAGAGGAGCAACACAGATAAATGGAACACTAGGAGTTGGGTCTGGGCAACTAGACAGGGGAACACCTTGTGGAACTGAACTCGAGGATCAGCGCCACATAGAGTAACCACAGGATGCACAAGAGGAGGACAAACAGCATGGATGTGACCAGGGTGCTTAAATGAGGAAGACAACTGACTCTGGAAAACAATGGGAAACTGACCAGAAGGCATAAGGCAAAGCCAAGGTTTACGGGATACCAGGGATTTAACAACAAATTGGGAGAGAGATACAGGCTGTGGGATGGTTGGCTGGGCTGAGCGGCAGCACTACAGGAATGGACGAAGATTGGACAGGAATGATCAGAGTGCATGCCACAGGCCTATGGAGAACCAAGGAGGGCCTGTGGACCCTGGGATGGTTGACAACGGTGTCCATGCCCCAAGCACAGGCCTGTTTATGGGACACTGTTGATGCTGGGTTGGAGCAGGGGTTATCAGGGTTGGACCCAGAATGATGCCCATTGGGTTCCACTCCTTCTGAAGGGTCATCCTCTGGGTCAGACTCTGTGACACTTGCCATTGGTCCAGATTAGGACCTGGCGGGGCAGCTCGGGAGACAGGTACAGGCGGGGCACCCCGAAAAACAAGTGTAGGTGAGGCAGCCCAGGAGACAGGCGCAGGTGAGACAGCCTTTTCAGAGTCTGGAGCTGAAAGCTCTGGGTCTGGAGCTGATGAACATGAGCCTGGCGAGACAGGCGCTGCAGAGGCAAGGATGAGGAACCAGGGTCTGGTGGTGCAGCAGAGAAGTCAGGTATTAGCAAAGCGGCCCCCTCTTAGGTACTAGCAACACGACCCCTCTGGGTTGGGCACTTGGGTGAAGTGTCGGTCACCCCTGGGCAGGGTGCTGGAAGCTCTGGAAATGCAGCGGCCTCCTCCAGACTAAGTCTCAGGTCCAGTTACCATCCCCAAACCAACGGGCTAACGAAGAGGACAAACGAGGAGGTTATGAAGACTCCGTGACTCCTGTACGCTGCCCATCCTACCCCCTAACCCTATATCTTCCCTGGGAGAGTACTAATATATTTTTCCCCAAAAAGTATCCTGGAATAGTCCTTAGTAGTCAAAAATTAAGCAAATAGGACATTCTCTTACTTTATGAATGAATGAATGAATGAATGAAAGTTACATTTATATAATACTTTTCAAGGCAGCCAAAGCACTTTACAGTAGCCAATATCAATGACATACACACAGCACGCAGGTGCACACAGGTGTTCTATAGAACAAATAAAAATAAAATGGCGAAACTACAAGTTGGGATTGCTAGTTCGTGGATCCAGTCAGAGAAAATCATATTTACTGTTAGAGTATTCAATTTGTCAGTTTTGTATTTTATTTTTAGCTTCTCCCCAGTTCTGATTAATGCAATATATTGAAGCATTCCTGCAGTGTTATATTTATAAACAACACCACTTTCTCTCATGCAGCGCCCAAGCAGTTGTTCCATGGAGGGAATAACAAATTCTCGAGTCGTCGATGTCAAACAATCAGGTATTCTGGCAACTATTAATGTATTCATAGCATGATTAAGATCATCAAACATCCTGATCAAGGAGGATCAAATAAATAATAGGGCTGGACAGAAAAGTTTGGGTAATACATGTTTAAAATATTTCATTAATCACATAGGTGGTCTTATGCATGTAACATGCATGATGTAAATGTCTGTGTTGTCTCGGATGATAAACAAAAGCATGTAGTTCAGAGGCACCTGGACCAGCACTCCTGCTTATGAAGTTCACCAGTGTCATGTGTCTTCAAGTAATGGTCCTGGCTGGAGAAAAAGGGATCTGACAAAAGTCTGTAAAATAGGAGTCTAGGGTAGCTCGTAGTCTGTGCCTTCACCATGTACCACATGCATTTTCTTGGTAGTGTTTGGAAGTGGAGAATCATGCACTTTATTGATGTTACGGAACAGGCATCGTCAACCCGTCCGTACATGGGCAAACTGATCAGTGGTAAAATGTTTCGACTGAGGAAAAATCTATGTAGCCTACATTTTTAAGTGTCATATCCATAAGTAAAAGTTGCATTTTGATCAAAATGTTTATCAGAATGGTGTGTCTAAGACTTTGTGTATAATAAATTACACAGTGGGGGTGGTAGGGTGGTGCTTGGGTTAGCACTGTTGTCTCACACCTCTGGGACCTGAATTTGAGTGTCTATCATGCCTCTATGTGTGTGGCCTTTGCATGTTCTCCCTGTGTCATCATGGGATTTCCTCTGGGTACCCTGGTTCCCCTCCCCCACTCCAAAATCAGGTTAAGGTTAATTGGTGTTACCAATAGGAATAGGAGCAGAATGGCTCCATAGTCTGAGGTCAGACCTGCCAAAGATCCCACAATGAAGCACAATTAATTCATCGGAGTAGCCATTTAAAATGCATGCTTGACATGACAGTGTTTGCAGTGATGCTGTTTTCCTTGTTCTGTCATGGAGAAAAAAAAAAGTTTCAATTTCACTTTCTAGATAAAACTCACATAAATGACACAATTTTTCCTCTATTTTTGAGATATACATATTTTTATTTTTGTGGTTAAAATACAGATGATGCATTACTAATTTGCACAGTAAAGTCTAACGACTGCATTCGAAGAATGACCTCCACTAGGTGGCGATGTGGATACATACAGGGGAAAGCACCTGACCACAGTGCCGATTTCCACAACCTTTGTTAAAACACAGCTCTCCCTGCATCCTGATTACAAGTAATTATCTTCTCATCATAACTTAACTTCTATTTATTTACATGTTTCCATCACTGTTTATGTTTCCCTTCATGGTTAACCCAAAGTCCTGCTCGTCTTCTAGTTTATTTCCTCTTTCTGAATTGATGATGGTAATCAGGGTCAAAAGTGTACTATTTGGGTCCAACAATTTAACAAGGGGAATGGTCACTGCTTGTCCCTGGAAGAAGACATTCTGCAGGGTCATGGCCAGCATTGAGTCGATGCCCAGGGCAGAGAGAGCAGTGTCGTCACTCATCTCCTGCAGGTCCATGTTGCACGTTTCGCTCAGCACGGACTTCACATATGTTTCTGCTGAGAAGGGAAATGTGGGCTGCTGGAGTCTGGTTTTTGTTACTCGTCTGGTTTTCAGTTCTAGCTCTATGAGGGTAGATAAGCGTGCCTGTAGGGAGATGTTCTGGGAGAACACGTGGCTCTTGAGGTTCTTGAAATTAAATTTGCACACTACCTGTTGGGCTTTGCCGAGCAGCAAACAGTGCTCCAGGCTCTCGTGAAATTCTGGCACGCCCATGACCTCCATTCCCTTGGACTCCAGGAACCTTTGAAAGTGATGCCTATTTAGCAGGAGGCCCAGGTTCAAAGCGCCCCAATTAATGGACTGACCTGCAAGCCCATGGTTCCTCCGGTAATGACAAAACAGGTCCAGGAACGAATTAGCCGCAGCATAGTTCGCTTGGGAGGCATTTCCAATAACTGATGAGATGGAAGAGTAGCATACAAAGTAGTCTAACTGAAAGTTTATCGTCGCATAATGCAAATTTAAAGCACCAATGACCTTTGGCTTAAGCACTCTCATGAAGGCTGACTTGTCAAGTGTCTCTATCAGCCCGTCTTGCAAGACCACGGCACTGTGGAACACTCCTCTGATTGGGCAAGAAGGGAATCTCTGTCCAGTGACTGAGATGGCTTTCATAACTTGGTCTAAGTCAGAGACATCGCACTGCAGACACGTAATTGACACATCATATTGACTCTGTAGAACATTAATTTCAAGTTGCACTTCTGTAGAAAGACCCCTTCTTGACAGAGTCACAATATATCTACCTCCTCTATATGCAATGAACTTTACTGTCTCAAGACCCAAACCTGAAAGGCCCCCAGTCACTATATATACAGAGTCCTTCTTGAAAAGTTGTTTTGATGACACCAAAATTGGAATGTCAGATTTCATCCCATTTGTACCATTATCTAGCACAACCACAGATATTGCCTTCGATCTAAAGTAGGACTCAGGACTCTCAAGAACTGAGGAGTCACAGTCTCGAGATACAGATTTTTGAAAAGTAATGGCTGGCAAGTTTAAAGATTCTTCATACAAAAGCATTGATTTCAGCCATTGATCGATCTTGGTTTTCTGCCTTTTTAGGTAGGCTTTTTGGAATATATTGGCCACCTGAATGTTCTGGATGTAAACATTTTCATTGTTAATTCTCATGGTGTTTTCTGAGAGGGGACTTGACCCTTTCCTGTCACAAACAAAAATGATATGTTTCATGGTGGAAATACTGCACATTTTAGCTACTAGGCTTGGGTTGAACGGAGGCAAAAGAATTAACACATCACATTCATTCACATTGTCTATTGCTCCATAGTGGTCTGTTCCTACAACAGTAATCCACCCAGATTTTGTTGCTGTATGCACCAATATCTGGAGGAGACTTGAGTAAGGGTCAGAAGAACCAATGCCTAACTTTCTCCCTGGTTTTACCCCTGGCATCGCAATATGCAAGATCTCCCATGCCAAGACAAAGTAAGACATGCACGGAACTTTCTTGAGAAAAGGCAGTTTCTTTGTTCTGTAGCATACAGCTTCAGGAATCACGACTTTAGATGAAGCAACAACAGGGTAGCATGAAACGACATGATCTCCCACCTTCAGCTTTCTCACATCCTTCCCTACAGCAGTAACTCTGCCGCTGAAATCTAGGGCCATAAGCTTGTGATTCTGAGATGTATGTTTGTTCCAGTAAATTGTCTGACCAAAATTCAAGTCAGAGTAACTGACAGGGAAGAAATCAGAGGAATGAACACATACTTTATCCAGCTGAACCTCAACAGTTTGCTCAGTCACACTGTTATCCAGGCTATGGGAGGGAATAGCAGATAGAGTTGTCACTGTATAAGGATCAGCCGTCTGCAGAGTGAAACACTCAGAAGTAGAGATCTTTTTCTCAAAACTTTCAGTATTTTTGAAGAGGGTTCGAGTAATAGTAGTTGAATGAATCTGCCCTTTCTTTATCATGACTTCTGGATACTTACTGCTAGGATATGAGTAAATAACATCAGCAAGGGCACCAATGTCCTCACTAGATACAGATGCAAGATCAATTAATTGTAAGGAAATATCTGAGATTTCAACGGCACACGACCTTGTCATACCAGAGAGCACAAAACCTGGACTGATGTGGTCCACACTATTCTCTGCTGATCTATAGGTTATGACTCTGACCGTACAACAACACTTGTCCTTCTTCGTCATCAGGACAACCTGCCGGTAAAACTCACAGCAATCAGCCAAGCACTCCAGAACCTCCTCTGCTGTCAGTGGACTAAGGTCCTGCATGCCATGCATGAACAGTACATTGTCAAAATCCCAACTGACACCTAAATGACTGATGGTACGAAGTTGCGAGCTTAACCATTTTCCAGAGTCAGTATATGAGATAAAAGTGGACTGCGGGTCCAAATGATCCTTCAATGCTTGAACCAGTCCCATTTGATCTTCAAAAACTAGAGCTTTTGGCTTGTTAGGGAGGATTTCATCCTCCGAGATAACATGGATCTCATTGTGATAGAAGCATTCCTTAACACCACCAGAAGCATCACCCACAAATGTGATCCTCACACTTCTTAACTCAACCAGAACATTGCCTTCTTTGTCTGCAAAGCAACCACATATCTCAAAGTAGTCAGCTGTCTTTCTGGTTCTTCGGAAATACACGACCATCTCCTCCAACATTGGCTTAGAGATTATCATGCTGCCTATTTCAGAAGGGAAAGCAGGTCTAGATGTGAATTCACTGAGAGCAATGACAGCTGTCATTTGCAAAAAACAGTCCAGTAGCACTGGATGGACACAGTACTCATGCAGGTGTCTCAGTGTTTCTCCAGATGCTTTAATAACTGACACTGCTTCCACAAGGTCCTCTCCGTAGTGGATGCTTTCCAAGCATTGAAACACAGAGCCATACTGAAACCCTGCCTGGGAAAGAAGTTCATAAATCTTCTCTGTCGTTATAACGGACTTACATCTTCTAAAAACTGATTCTAAAACGATGTGCTTCTCATCAATGGAATCTTTGGTGCATTTATGCCCAGCTAAGCTCACATGACGAATGACACCTGATGCATATGTTGCTATAGGAGAATGAATAGTAAAGTTTGTTTTTCCCTTTTCGGATTCAAGCCTTATTTTCATTTGCCATGAACTCTTGTCAAGAACACATGGGTTCTGGAAAGTAATACTGAGCTGCAGTGAGCAGAGGGCCATTTTGGGCCTCACACTTGCAATAAGGGATGCCAAAGCCAGCTCTACATAAAGTGCACCAGGGACAACAACAGTGCCATTGTGTTTGTGTTCCCACACATATGATGCTGCATCAGATGAAAGGTTACTGACTAGTCCCTCTGCATCCTGTCTAGTCTGTATTAGCAGGGGGTGATGCGACTGACTAGTTATCTCATTGCCTTGCCTGACAGCCTCAAAGTACACCTTCTTATTTTGACGGTCAAACTGATAGACTGGGAAAGGTGTTGGCACTGTCTCACACCCTTTGTAAAACTGATCCCAGTCGACTTGCACACCCAACTCAAAGAGTTTGGACACAAGAGTGAGGAGTGTCTCGTGGTCTTTCTCTGGCTGCACAGAGGAGAACACTGGGGTGTCATTTCCCAGTATCTCCTTGATGTTCCTTTGTAGGACTCTTTTTGGACCTATCTCTACAAAGACAGCATTCTTCTTCTCCCTTGCTGCTGACCTTACAGTTTGCTCAAATGCAACTGTTTGCCGAACATTTCTTGCCCAGTATGTCCCTGTAGTAAAGTCCCCTTCACCATATGCCTCTCCGGTCACAGTCGAAAACATTTCTGTCTTCATCTCATTGCCTTGTAAATTACCTATATTTTCCTCTATTTGTGAGAGAATTGAGTCCATCATATGGCTATGATATGCAGCAGGAACATCCAAACTGTGGAGGAAAAGATCCCTATTTTCTAATGAGGTTTTCAAATTCTGATGGAGACTATCCACAGCATTTGAATCTCCAGACAGAGTGCAGGACTGAGGACTATTGATGGCAGCCAAGCAAATCTTTCCTGAATAGGCAGGGAGAAGCTTCAAGATTTCTGATACTGGCATGTTGCTGACAACAAGCATTTTCCCACCAGTGACTTGACTCTGCAAGTTACTGCGAATGTAGATTACCTTCACTGCGTCCTCTAGGGACAGCAGACCAGAGCAATGGGCAGCAGCAACCTCTCCAACAGAATGCCCAAGAATGGCATCTGGTCTCACACCCCAGTGCTTTAACAGACTGCAAATAGCAACTTGAATTGCAAAGAGGAGAAGTTGCACAATATCTGGCTTAGAAGAGTCATCGTTGTCATAATCACTTTCCAGTTTTTGCAGGATGCTCATGCTATTGTACTTCTGTAAAATGTTCTCAATCTCTAAGATTTTTTCTCTGAAAATGCTCCCCCTTTTTAGCAACTGCTTGCACATGCCTCTGTAAGTAACCCCATTTCCACAGAAGACAAAAACTAATTGGGGGTCTGACTTTAATGGCAAGAACTTTTTGTTAAGGGATGATTTAAGTTCAGCTTGTAGTTCACTAAGAGAGGAGACCATGAAGACTTTTCTGAACTTGTGCTTTGCATGGCTCCTTCTGCAGGCTGATGTGTATGCAAGTCTGTTCAGATCTACTGTTTTGTTTGCTTTCAGCTTTTCAAAAGTATCTACAAATGCCATAACAACTGATTTTTCCGAGGATGCGGAGAATACAAATAACTTCAGTGATTTCTCTAAGTCTGGTTTAGAAATACATGGTTGCAGATACTGTTTCACAATTGCATGTGCATTAGTCCCACCAAACCCAAAACTGTTGATTCCTGCGACCCTTCCAGCTGGACCAGAAATTTCCCATTTCTCTGCTTTGGTAGGAATTTTTATATTCAAAGCTTTGGCATCTATACTGGCATTATCCTCAGAATAAAAGACGGAGGGAACTATGGTTCCATGGTGCATCATCAGAAGTACCTTGATGAGTCCCGCTACTCCAGCTGCAGATTCGGTGTGTCCGATGTTACCTTTGACGGAGCCAATGTAAAGTCTTGCTGATCCTGGTGGTCTGCCTTTGGCAATAACTTTAGAGATGCTGCTAGCTTCTGTGGGATCTCCCACTGGAGTTCCAGTCCCATGAGCCTCTATGTACTGAACCTGTGATGGATCAGTCTGTGCAGAGTAAATTCTGCGCAGAAGCTCTTCCTGCTGAACCATGGATGGCTTGGTGATTGGAGTGACGGAGCGGCCATCTTGATTGACCGCAGTTTTACTAATGATCCCCCACACATGGTCGCAGTTCCTTAGAGCCTGTTCATAAATGATAACATATTTGCATCAGCAAAATTGGTAGGAAATTTCTTCTGCTTATTCATCTAAGGTTACTGATCATACTGAATAATTTTAGCATATTACCTCCTTCAGCGGCTTCAGGAGGACAATCCCACAGCCTTCTCCCCTTCCATATCCATCTGCTCTACTGGAGAACGGCTTGCTGGTGCCATCAGGTGAGATCATTTTTGCTTTGCTAAGAGCAACAAAGACTCGTGGTTCAATGATGCAGCTGACGCCTCCACACAGCGCCATCTCACAGTCCCCTGCCAAAAGATAAAAGACAAACCTTCTGCAACTAGCAAGCTTACTTTTTTAGAAAGTTCTAATCACTACAGAAAAACATTTTGTATCCTTCACTATTACCTTGTCTTATGGCTTGACAGGCAGAGTGGAGAGCCACCAGGGAAGAGGAGCAGGCACTGTCAATGGCGAATGACGGCCCAGTGAGGTTGAAGGTGTAGGAGATCCTGTTGGCAGCTATACTCATAGCTGTCCCTGTGCTATTATAGTGAGTTATTGTGCTAGGACTATTGTTCAGAAGTGTTTCATAGTCCCGGTTCATGAGACCTGTTCAAGAGATCAGTACACAGAAAAGAGCTGAAGAAATATCCAATTTAATAAGCTGTTCAATATCTTTAAATAAAATATCAGGGTGTATAAATCATACTATATGAGAATTTGTGATAGAACCCACATTTTAAGGTCATTGTTATTAGACAAGGTGATAATTATAAAGTTGAACTATTGACAAATACCAGTAGAAGAGATGACAGGTATTTCTGTCTAGCTGAAAAACCTCTTTTCATTACCTAAAAACACCCCTGTCCTGGTTCCGCTGGCCTTCTCCATCGGTATCCCAGCATCCTCTAGTGCTCTGTAGCTACACTCCAGCAGGAGCTTCTGCTGAGGGTCCATGTAGTCGGCCTCTGCCTCAGTGATGCCAAAAAACTTGTGGTCAAACTCATTGAACCTAAAAATAGGGAGAATTAATGTCCAAGAGGTCAATGAGATGTTAAAAGAGATGAGGTGGAAAAGTCCTCGATTAATGGTAAAAGACTGAATATTAAGACGCTAGGAGGGGAAATGCTGTATTACCCATGGGAACCTCATTTTATTAATAAAATAAGAAACTTAAATTTCACATGTTTATTCCTGCAAGTGGGTGTAGCACCAGCATCAGCCTCTATGGTATAAGAACATGCATAGATAGATGTATGTTCTTGCAAGAGCAGAAATCAAAACATCGGAAATACAGATTTTTGACATGCTAATCATACTGAATATGGTGAATAGCCAGAATTAATAACTTAATTTATTATTAAACTATTACATTTTTATTAACTGTATTATATTACATTATATACAGTATTTAATGAATTTCAACTTCAACAACACCGCCTGAGGTACCTGTCGATAAGCGCGGCTTTGGCTGTGCGTGATCTTCCAGCCTTGCTCTCATCAGGATCATACCAGTGTCTGACATCAAACCTCTCCTCTGGAATCTCAACAGCACAATTCCTCCCTTCCAGTAGAACTTTCCAGAAGTTCTCAAGACCTTCACCTTAAAATGAAGCAAATCATACTGCCTGATCTCACAGAAAAACGTACAGGACTTGCACGCCATTGTGAAAGTGAAAAACACAGTATGTACAGATACTACATTCACATCCATCATGCACACCAGCCAGGAGCAGTGATCATGCATGAAACATATGATGGTTCTCTGTAATGATTAATAATAAGTCTTAGTGTGCAAAGACAATGTTTCAATAGCTGGTTTAATTATTTCTTTTCAATGCTACGTTCAATTTAACTTTGCTATTGTACACAGAAGTACTAGCTTCACTCATTAAAAAGGTTCACAGTCTGACCTCCAGGGAAGTGGCACCCAATCCCAATCACAGCGATGTCTTGTTCGGCTTCCCCCATTCTTAATTATCCATGATAGACAGAAGCTACAAGACAAACAAACCATGATCACATACGTTTTCCAATAGTTATTTCAGGTGAAGAAAAAGCACCTTTGTAGAAATTGCACTCAACTTCAAAATGCATTTTATTACCACAAACTGCGTATCACACTGAGAATTTTAACAACCAAAATTACACTATGAAGCTGTTATTTAGACATCAATGACCGGAAAATTATACAAATACACATATAAATATATAAAGTACATATATATACAAAAATATAAGGGTATACCTCTTAATCAAATCTGCAGATACAAAGGTAAAGCCCAAGCTGTTTATCCATTACCTGATGTCTTTGCTCTGAAAAGTCCATCTTTCCAGGGAGCGCTTTATATAATTGGACCCCACAACGACAGTGGGGGTGGGGTCCAAAAATAACATGAAAAAAGGGGGAGATGAAAATGATGTCTAACTGAGGCCATTCTTTTTCATTTTGGGAAGCACAGACATAGTATCCTTGCTTGTAGTATAATGGCCTTTATTGTATGGAGGGCAGCCTCTGTTTCAGTCCCTAAAGATCTTGCTCATTATTCTGTGGGTCTATAATTTGACCATGTGTAACAAAAGAGCTTAATCGAGGCCTGGATGCAGCTGTGTGGTCAGTCCCTGGGGCTCTAGTGCATGAATGGCACACCACAGGCTGAAAGGTGGCCACCTGTCTTTCTCATCAGGCAGTAGGGTTTTTCCTGTTCGCTTGTGCATCAGCTCGATCAGGCTCTGGGAACAGGGTTCCACAAAGGCATTAATATTTCACTACTTCCAGGTCCATTTTAACTAATTACGTGGATGGATTGTGAGTCCTGGTCTGATGACCCATCCAGGTTGTACATAAGCTGACTGTTTCCTAGGACAGCAGATAGTATGACCCATACTGAGTATGTGATTATTAAAAGCATACAGAATGATGGATTATGGGATATGTTTTTCAATTTAAGATCTCATACTTAATTCAGCTGTCATGCTTTCAGGCAGGGGAGTTTCCAGCTATTAAAAGTTTACTTGGGGCTTCACTTTTTTTTTCTGAAGGAAGATTGGCATCAGGGATAAAATACTCGGGGCTATAGCCTTGGGTGCTCTGACCTAATGACATCCATGCTTTCAGGTCACTATAAACTGCTTTCATCCCAGCACTGGCAAAAAGAAGCAGAAATTTCCAATGGGCAGGAAAACCAAGTCAGGTAGTAATAGGCTTTCAAAGGATCAAACCGTCCTCCAGAAGACACGGCCCGTGGGCGGCACGGGCCATTAAAGTCACCAAAACCAGGACCAGAACCACCAATTAAACTTCTGAGGACTCACTGAATTGAATGAATGCTTCTTGTTATTCTGAATCACAAGCCAGTGGTTTCTTTTGAAACTCCAAGAACTTTCATGGAACTGATATGCTTGATGGTCAACTGGAACATTTGCATGTGATGACAGAGGTGGAAAGTGACTGTCTTCCTATCTGAACGTGGTAAATGAACACAGAAGACTGGAGAAGCCCAGTCTGTCATATAAAACTGGCATGAAAATCTGATTTTAACATTTCTTTGAACGTTAAATTTGGTTTAAATGCACTGGCATAAAAACTAACAGCTTATGGGCCTTTCATAATTAGGGCGACTAAACCCTAATCTGTATGCATTCCTTGAGCTTTCCTTAAAATGTACCATCACGGTATTTGAATAAAAAAAAAAACGGCTTCAACGAGGAGGGAAAATGCATGCACGCATTTCTGTGGCTTTAACTTGAAATTCTTTCTAATACTCAGAAAATGCTATTAAACCCTGCAAAGTGCCATTACCCTAAACACTCCAGCACTCTTTTCTTTACCATCACATACCCTCACATTACAAACACGGGGGCTCTGAAAGACCATCACACGTCCTCCATCTATGCAGGTGCTATGCAGGTATTGGGAAGCTGTTGGCTGACACCCCATCCTTAACCATTTTGCAGTTTGGTGCCATTTTGACTGTAAACCAGGTTTACATATGGGACAGCAGAGATTAATTCACCGTGAGAACAGTTTAAGAAATGCTAATCATCACTTCCTCAACTTTGGATCATTATTCCATTATTTCCTGATAGAGTTAAATTAAATCTTACCATTTTAAGATTTAAGAGTGTAGCTACTCATCCCACCTTCAGTGCAACATCTGGAGTAATGTTTATGGGGTATTAAAAGAAACACACCAAACATGCTTTGACTTTTGTTTACTTTAACAGTTTCAAAGAATGCCGAAACAGTTTAAAATCCATGGGAAGCCTCCCTAAATTCCAAGTCATACATTATATACAATAGTCCCATACACATCCAATGTGTACCAGAGCAGAACAAGAGCAAAGAAAGATGTTCGGTTTGGATAAATCCTATAGTACTTCATAAAGTACATAAATAGGTCACAGGTTATTACAGAATAGTTCTACACCTAACAGTGTCAAATGCCTAAAGCGAATATACAAATATAATTAAAATTCAGAGAAATTCACATATACACCAAATTAATCCCATTCCTGCATTGCACTGGTAGGGCATTTCTGTCACAACCTTCAAAATTTACCTTTTAAAAATCTGTAATGTTACCCACTCCAGGCACACGAAAACCCAAGTCTTCAAGCAGGACACTTCTCCCAAACCAAACGTGAGCAGCCGTATCATGAGAATACTGCCCATTTACAGAATATGATCTGAGAAGAGGAGAGCGTGTGGAGTTCCCCTTCAAGGTAGTCACACCAAGCCCTTGATTTGGGACAAGGTACAGATTATCAACTGACCAATCATCAGCTGAAATCAGTGCCAAACTTAAAACAAAAGCAAAGGAGCACACAAGGCTTTGCTTAAAGGGATATCCACATAGTGAAGGGCCTGGTGTTTAAAGCCCCAAGAACCTCAAATCAGCCCAAGTAGATTGTACACAGGCAGGGGACACATGTAGGACGAAAAGGGAGATCAGACAGTATGCTTATGCTACAATATTCAATAAAAGGGCCAATTTTGCTAACCAGAAATGATCAATTACTATATAAGACCTCAGAGAAGACATGTGACCCTTGAGGAACTGGAGGGGCTCAAATTTTGTGCCCTCAATATACTCCAAAAGAGTGGGACAGCTTCTGAAATTAGTGTCGATGGTTGAGAATAAATAAAATCCAAGGTGACTGAATTTCAGGTAAGAATATGTGCTCAGCATGACGTCAAATCAGAATTAGTTTGTCTGGGTAAAGGCCACTGCTCCTCATCGTGCCTGCATATTCACATGGAAGGAAAGGACAAGTCTCTCAAGGCATCATCTGGCCTCCAGTTCCTTGCCCTCGAGGACCATCTGGATTTCTTTGGCATCGAGGGTCTCGTAGGTCAGCAGGGCATCGGCCAAGATCTTGTGCTCCTTGCTGTAGGTCTTGAGGATGTGTTTTGCACGCTCATAAGAGTCCTAATTTAGGGGGAAATTTGTTGAATAAATAAAAATCAATTCCAGGCACATTCAAATGTGCCTCATCACAAAGTAATAAAGCATGAATGCGAATGACCAGTTGACTATAGGTACAGTTTAAGTGGCCAGGAGGAAGGCAAAGAGTTAAGCCTACCTTCAACAGCTTCCTGACTTCCTGTTCAATAGCAGCCTGTGTCTCTGGGCTTTGCTTAGACAGATCCCCGTAAGTCATGACACCCAGCTGTGTTACCATGACAGAGAGAAAAAAAAACCCAATAAACTCATCGACTTCAATCAACTGTAGCATCTATTTGTGACCTTTGTTTATATACGACTTGCAAACACCCCATTAGCTACAATGGAGCTGTCATATACAACAGAGACTGTTAAAAATGGGGGAAAACCAGCAATGCAAATCGCATGCCATGTGACCTGAAATGCATATTCGCATTATGATTACCCAACAGATCAGCATGTTAATGAAGAGCAGGATTGTGGGGATTAATGTTTAATCTTCATGTATGTGACCTTGGAGACCTAGCACAGTGTATTTGTTTAGAAGGAAGTATTCTAGGAAATCCTGCGGTACACTGGGAAAAGCAATGCAGGCAAAGCGGAAAAGAAGTGGCTTAAACGAAATAAATGTCACCTTGTCGCTCATCCCAAAACGCGTCACCATCATGTTGGCTATCTTTGTGGCGCCATCAAAATCGCTTGATGCTCCTGGAGAGACAGAGGCTATGTTTCAGGGTGATCAGAGAGACACGCTGGCCGGGGGGAAGCTTGACCTTCAGCAAGTTCATTGAGGCCCTACCGGTGGTGACGTTGTCGTTCCCGAATATGAGCTCCTCAGCCACCCTGCCGCCCATGCTAACGTCCAACTGTGCCATCAGTTGTGACCGGGTCTCACTCCAGCGGTCATTCTCTGGCAGCAGGGACACCTAGGGGTGGTTGGTTGCTTAACTAATGTGTCACATGACTATATATAAAAATAAATGCACCAAGAGCTGTCACTCATCCACCTGCCCATTGACATCACAGGTGACTCACATGGCCTAGGCTGGGTCCACGAGGCATAATGGTAGCTTTGTTGATGGGCATAGCATCTTTGGTGTAGTAGGCCACAATGGCGTGGCCAGACTCGTGGTATGCAGTGATGGTTTTGTTCTTCTTGTCTATCTCCACGCTTCTGCGCTCAGGGCCTGCAAAACGGTGTGGATGGAGAGGGAGGGCATTCATTAAATCCAGGCTATCAGTGAGGTCAGCTCTGGTCTGAAAGTAGTATGTATTCATACCAACTGAAAATCTTAAAAGTATCCCTTTAGTTACTAAAACATCTTTCAGATTTTCTATTATGAGTTGCTATAGCAACTGCTGACCCATAAGAATCTTGTCCTTCGCGAACTCCAGCTCCTTCATGGTCACCATGTCTTTGCCATCAACCGCTGCCTTCAGAGCTGCCTGGTTGACCAGATTCTCCAGCTCAGCACCAGAGAAGCCAACTGTTCCCCTGGCGATGATCTCCGCTTGGACTGCTGCAAGGCCGTGACATCACACATTACCATCGGCACTGTCAGGAACCTCAGCTGTGAGTCTGCAACGGCACCCTCTACCTACCAGAGTCTACTTTTATTTTTTTTAGGTACCAGTTGAGGATTTCTGTTCGGCCCTTTATATCAGGTCTGGGGACAGTAACCTGCATGTCAAACCTCCCAGGTCGGACCAGAGCACTGCGTGGAGACACGTGATCAGAAGTTTAAGCTTCCATAAACCTTGGTGTAGCTGGAAGCTTCAAATACAAACTGCAGAACAAAGCTGGACAAAAATCAACATCTTTATAAAACTCTACAATAAAAGGCCCAGGTCTCTAATTCATGCAAATAATCATAAAACAGGGAGGGGAAAAAAAAAAAAAAAAACACCACCATTAAGAAAATGACATTTCCATGTGACTGACTAAAGGGTTAAACCAATGATGTTGGAAGCAGAGTGACACTTATGAGAAAGACTGAGCTAGCTTCAGCCCTGGGAACAAGAATACAAACAGTTAACGTACTTATCAAGAGCTTCTGGGAAGTTTGTGGCCCCAATGATGATTATGCCTTCATTTGGCTTAAATCTATATAAAACCAGAAGAATCAATGTCAGTGATCTCAATGCATCAGAGCACTAATTCACTGTGTGCTTCAGAAGTGTACTTCTCATGACACACATACCCGTCCATCTCTGCCAGCAGCTGGTTAATGGTCTGTCTAGAGTACGGGTGCATTGGAGATTCAATTCTCTTCCCACCCACGCTGTCGAGCTCATCAATGAAGATCACGCAAGGGGCATTAGCTTTTGCCTCTTCTACAAAAAAAAAAACGAAACACGTCACAGAGCTAGCCAATGCACACTGTGGTAAACCAAAGGAACATTAGAGCTACACTGGTTCACACAAAGCTTACTGAAGAGATTCCTGATGCGGCTAGCTCCCACGCCCACAAACATCTCGTCAAACTCTGAACCCGAGGCATAATAGAACGGGACATCAGCCTCTCCGGCAACTGCCCTCGCCAGGAGGGTTTTGCCAGTGCCCGGGGGTCCCACGAGCAAAATTCCTGTGGAATGTGAATGGGAAAGTGTCATTCTGACGTGTCAGGTCTCCAAACCAAATTCCTCGAAAAAACCTTTGACACCGTGACAAACGACTTAGTGGTATTCTCACCTTTGGGCAGCTTCCCGCCAAGGACGGTGAACTTTTGTGGGTTCCTCAGGAACTCCACGACCTCCTGAAGCTCATTCTTTGCTTCCTCCACCCCCTTCACGTGCTCAAAAGTAACGTTCTTCATCTGGATTGGATCCACTGCAGAATCCAGGCCCGAAGTAGTCCGGAATCTCACTGTTGGAAGCAACAAGAACAGAGCTAACATGCAAACACCACCTACCAATGGTCTTGTTACTAAATTGACATCAATGAGCAAGACAAAGCAGAAGGTTCTCTAAGACGCTAAGAACCAAAATGTAAACACATCTGTCTTCAATGCGGCTCTGGTAAAAGGACACTCATCTAACTTAGTGCTAATGCGGCAAACCCAAAGTTTATCCAATTTTCCAGAAGTTTCAAATAGTTGTAGAGAGCTGCCAATGCTATAAGCACGTTACAGCCCATGGACCTCAAATGCTAACCAGAACAAATCTCTTGACGTCAGAGGGTGAAATTTTTCTGAAAACCTACAGCTGCTTCATGAGATAAATCTGCATCAATATTTAGAAAAGAGCGTGGAGATTTTTTGGCGGAATCCTTTCATTACTTAAGGGAAAACCTCAAACTATACTACAATGTGTGGCGATTTATAAACGTGTAACGTGATCTGCACATGCGAGGAAAATGCAGTAAATCTGAAACAAACCAGTATTAGAAAATGAGCCTTTACCTGATAAAAACGGGGTTCTCGAGAGGCCATAGATGCCCACCAGCAGAAGGACAAGCAGAATCAGCCGCGTCCTCCTCAAAGAGTCTTTCAGGAAAAAAACCATAGCATGAATAAAACAGAGACAACACACCCAACAAATTCTATTCAACGGCACCATCTAGTGGCAGGTTCTTCAAAATATTTTGAAAACGTTTATTATTCACAAAGGGTTCCCATCTTGCAGTAAAATATAGCAACAAATTTCAGCTTTCATACACACACAAAATTTTTCTCCCTTGGCAACCACCGGCCTAACGTGACACACAGCCCTGAAGCCCCCCAGGCACAGATACAAGGTACCTTGTGTCCTCTGGGTCAGTGCTTGAGCTTTCAGGAAGCCCTCTGTGAATCCCGTCTTGAAGGCATCTCTCTGTGCCTCTGGTAGGTTTTTGTTCTGGATAATCTTATCTAGGCTCTCCGTCTCTGGGGCTTTATCCCTCATGAGGAGCCCCTGCAGAGCAGCACACGAGAACTGGCATCAGAAACCACCTGGAGGGGCCAACCTCACAAAAGTGGGGCCATATTCACTAACCTGATTCATTTACCGTTCCCTCAGACAACCGTACAGTAGCCATTGAAACATTTACAATATTGAAAATAAACAATTCTTTGCCCCGAGGGCAGAGAAACCTAAATAAAGCTTTGAGTCTTGTGCCATTTTGGGAAGTGGCAGGGAGGGCAGACCTTGAAGAAACTTGGAGTGAAGCTTTCGGGTTCAGGGGTGCCCTTATAACCGGCTTGCAAGCGCCTGGTTCTGGATCTTAGGGTTTTAAAGCCTCTTCTTTGGATCCAACCTTCATAGTGTGAAAGGAGGGAGAGGGAGACAGTTTTGAAAACCATACACTACCAGTCAAAAGGTTGGACACATTCTCATTCAATGTTTTTTTTATTGTTTTCTACATAGTAGATTAATATTGAAGACTTCAAAACATTTAAGTGACACATGTGGAATTATTCAGTAAACAAATAAGTGCTAAACAAACCAGAATATCTTTATTTTAGATTCTTCAAAGTAGCCACCTTTTGTGTTGATGACAGCCTTGCACACTCGTGGTATTCCCTCAATCAGATTCATGAAGTATTCACCAGGAATGGTTTTCCAACCACGAACTTGAAGGAGTTCCCAGAGGTGCTGAGCACATGTTGGCTACTTTGCCTTTACTCTGCAGTCCAACTCATCCCAAACCAATCTCAGTTGGGTTTAGGTTGGGTGATCGTGGAGGCCAGGTCATCTGAAGCAGCACTCACTCTCCTTAGTCAGATACTCCTTACATAGCCTGGAGGTGTGTTTGAGGTCATTGTCCTGTTAAACAAATGCTGGTCCCACTAAGAGCAAACCAGATGTCGCTGCAGAATGTTGTAGTAGCCGTGCTGGTTAAATGTGCCTTGAATTTTGAATAAATCACCAACAGTGTCACCAGTAAAGCACCCCTCCTCCTCCATGCTTCACAGTGGGAACCACACATGTAGGAACCATCCGCTCACCTTTTCTGCATCTCACAGACATGGCGGGTGGATCCAAAAAACTCAAATTTGGACTCATCAGACCAAAGTACAGATTTCCACAGGTCCAGTGTCCATTCCTTGTGTTTCTTGGCCCAAGAAAGTCTCTTCATCTTGTTCTTCCTCAGTAATGGTTTCTTTGCAGCAATTCGACCATGAAAGCCTTCTTCACGCAGTCTCCTCTGAACAGTTGATGTTGAGATGTGCCTGCTACTTGATCTCTGAAGCATTTATTGTGGGCTCTAATCTGAGGTGCTGTTAATGTGTGGTTTCTGAGGCTGGTAACTATAATGAACTTATCCTCTGCAGCAGAGGTAACTCTTGGTCTTCCTTTCCTGGGGCGGTCCTCATGAGAACCAGTTTCATCATAGCGTTTGATGGTTTTAGTTGAGTGGCTCTTGCCATAGAACAGTAGTTGAATAGGGCTATTCACTGTAGAACTGTGTACCGACCCTACAACACAACTGATAGTCTTAAACACATGAAGGCGGCAAGAAATTCCACAAAATTAACTCTTGACAAGGCGCACCTGTTCATTGAAAACCATTCCAGGTCAATACCTCATGAATCTGACTGAGAGAATGCAAAGAGTGTGCAAGGCTGTCATAAATGCAAAGGGTGGCTACTTTGAAGAATCTAAAAATAGAAAAAATATTTTGGTTGTTTAAGACTTATTTGTTTACTGCATAATCCCATGTGTTTCTTCATTGTTTTGAAGTCTTCAATATTAATGTACTATGTAGAAAATAATAAAAATAAAGAAAAACCATTGAATGAGAATGTGTCCAAACTTTTGACTGGTAGTGTACATAAGCAGGAGAGATAAACCATGCATAATGTCTAACTTCTGAAACAGAAACCAAAGGGAACATCACATATTTAAAAATAATACACTGAATGAAATTCAAATATAAGCAGAGGGGTTGGAGCGTACAAACACATGACTGGAATGGTAGTCAGAGAAACATCCAGAATAAGCATTCATTTGGTTTCTTCTTCCACCATTATAAATCAAATTATCAAGGCAATTTTCGCCTTTTGATCATATACCAAAGTGTCATAACAGAGCCTTCCATTCTATTTCAAAGCGATATCTGCCCTTGAGCTCCCCTGTGCACGTTCCTGGGCTCCTATACCGACCTGGCCAGTGTTGAAGGTCTGAGCAGACTGCCTGCAGAGGACCGGGACTCCGTCTGCACGGGAGCGGGGAGCTGAAACCATGCCCAGGTCTCAGGGAGAAACCTGGCAATAAAAGAGCAGCAGCCAATGTGAGCCTAAACTGCATGAAATCATTTAATGAAATTTCCTTTTAAGAGGGCAAAAAACAGCCAATTACGAGTGGGCTGACATTTGTTTAACTCATTGGTCCTGGTTCAAAGAGGAGGAGGGGTAGGCAGACAGCCAGGTCCTCACCATGCTTGTTTTCGAAGAAGGATTCTGAGGAGATATGGGACTCCTTCCAGGAACTGGAGCCAGGGTCCTGTTGAAGGGGCAGCCCGGGCAGGAGGCTGTTCACCAGCTCATCCAGCTGAGCTGACCTAAGCTCCAACAAACCAAGGTCCCTCAGGCTGAAGGTGGACTAAAAGCAGACAATTCATGATGAATATAATGCTTTAAGAAATTATATCTATTTACACTATGAAAAACAGAGTGTGGTTTCCCTTATTAACTTTAAATTTTATAATAACTTTATATTTTCCTTTCACAAACACAAATGAATACAATCCTAAAAATCACAATCCATTATTACCCTATCATCTTCTACATCAGGGGTGCCCAACTCCAGTCCTGGAGGGCCGGAGCCCTGTGTAGCTTAGTTCTTTCCCTGTTCCACCATAAATGATTCAGCTCAAGAGCTGTGTGGTAATTAGCACAAGGAGTTGAATCAGGCATTTTAAATGAGGGGAAACCCAAAAATGTGCAGGGCTCTGGCCCTCCAGGACTGGAGTTGGGCACCCCTGTTCTACATTTACACCTATGTAGTGCATTTGCTCCCTCTAGTGGTCACTATTAAAGTCTTAGATGTCAGACTTCTAATCATTTCGCAGTGTAAGCACTCATTATGAACGTGCTAAAGGACATACGTCAGGACTACTGGTCTGCCACAGCTACAAAGCAGAGAAGAAAGCATTTATTTCCCTTAGATGTGCTGAGGCTTGTGTTTTTCAGGAAGCCCACCTCACTGATTGGCAGATCATGTTCTAAATGATGGTCCTTCTGCAGACTCCGGATAGACGCACTGGCTGAATTCTTGAAGGAGTGAAAGGCGCCGAGGAGGTGACCAAGTGGAACAGTTACCTATGTGGTGGAACAAGAGGGTGAACATATTTAGAAAAGGAAGCTCCTCTGTAAACATTCACCTCACATGCCATTCACATGTCAAACAATTCAGGCTGCCCCTTTTTTCAAATGTATTTGCTTCTCTCCCCCCATAAAAACAAAACATAACATTTAGATAAGTTTCGTTTATAACAAGAATACCATATGACTAGAACAAAATGTTCTAGCAAATGAGAGAAGCACAGTACTTCAGACAAAGACATACATATGACACACCTCCACAGACACGTGTATAAATACAATACAATACAAGCCTACAAAACGAGGTGGCCAGTCATAACCTACAACAGGATCAGATTAACCATCACTTGGAAATTAAGCAGTGCCTTGATTTTCCTGCTCGCAAATCATTGACTGACTGGACCATATACTCCAAGGTTTCAGGTGTACTTTCCATCCAAACAGCGAATTTGTATAATCAGTGCAGGGATGACACAGAACGATAGGTCTGGGGTTGCCAACTTTGGTCAGCTGGCGGGCACACGTATTTACATGTATTCAATAGTTTTAAACCTTTATAACATGTATGTAAGTTTTAAAGCTTGAAAATTGTCTGTAGGGTTTGCAAACTGCCCCCAACGCTTTTGATGCAGCTAACTTTAGGTTTATAATGGAATAACACGGATTTCTTGCGTGAGCGTGAGAGTGTGAAAGCGTCAGTGTGGATACAGAAAGTGATGTAATACAGAGGCAAACGTGCAGTTCCAAGTCAATGACGATAGTTCCACCAAGGGAGGTAGACACACCGGTATTGGAAATGTATCAAGAACTCATCTTAAAAGATAAAGATTGCGTACTGACAAAGACTGCGAAACATTTATCACACCATCATGCAGCCCTATTGAAAACCAATTTCCTTAACATATTACCCATATGACAGCCTGTGCTTATTAATCATAACCTACAGAAAATAGACAAAATAATATGGTAATACAGTAGACAATCAGCCGATATTGTTGGTTATCGCAGTTAAAGCAACAACCCTCATCAAAATGACATCTTCAGATTGCCATTTGGGCTACAGGGGGAAGGTGTTAAGATAGGTAGCCGGGCACCATGTTACCCTGCTAGCCAGTTAGCCGGCCGACTTCCATTGTACTGGAAATCCTTCTCCATTAGACACAGATTCTTACACAAACTTTCATTACATGGTGTTATTAGCCGTAGTAGACAGCAAAATAAAACCGCAACAAACCGGTTAATTCTGAACCTCACTCTCAAGCTAACGTTATGCCGCAAAAACACGGTTAGGTAACGTTGTCGGCTATAAACAACTATGAATGACTTACTTGCGGCTGCAGCGTAGTCGAAAGGGAGAACATGCTTCCAATACCATATATTTTGGCCGACTCCACTTAGTTATTATGTGTTACCCGAACGAAACAAACGTGTTCCGCTGTCGTCCTTTGAAAATTCCCTTCTTCTACAGTGAGTTGTGAAAATGGCTTCCATAGGAAGGTCGACCGGAATCTGTCGCAGCTTCACTACCGGTTTAAATAATTACGACATGACGGTGATGGAAAACCAACGTAGAAGACATCAATATGGCGGCAACTGCACCCAAACCTTTTCTTTTCTATTAATTCTACACGGAACACGATAAGTTTATTTTAATTTTTGCTTTGCATCTCAGCATGTCTGGGACACCTGTGGAAGTGGATATTACAGCATCGCCTTTGTCAAGAGCCCATACTCATTAATTCCTTTATGCGGTCTACAATTTTACGCATCAACATAGTATTTTACTGGAGAAATCCAAAACACCTTCAAACAGGCTCCCTTTTGGACATGAGCACCACCTTTCAGTATACAAATCAGCATTAGGAATAAAGTTCAACTATAGAGTACCAATATCAATTTTATCTAATTAGCAATACATAATTAAATTCTCTACTTGCAGCCTAGTACAATGTGTAGTTACCTTCATATAGTGAATTATGTCACGTTTAACTATGTAGTTCTAATATCCACAATATTGAATATTTCTGGGTGGGTCTCAGCAACTATCACGTTTTCGAAGAAGCAATGACGCACGTCAGGATACAGTAGATCATTTTTGGCCGTAGTTAGGTGTCCATAGTACTGCCTATTTTTATTGCGCGTTAGTTCTTTGGAAACTCTTCAAAATATTTACCTAGGGTTTTAAAAAGCGTTTACAAATATCATATATTACTTTGTGCCGCGAAATACGTTTATACTAAAAATTCAAAGTCGTTAATAAGGCGGGGTTCTGGTCATGAGGCAATTGCGTCATGAAGGACCTAAGCCTGGTACGGATTTCAAATTTTCAAAACAAGTCAGGCAGCTGTGTACTGAGAGTATGAACGGTGTCTTGCTTTTTTATTCCATTAAAATCCAACCTAAACAGTATATGTGGATGACGATCGGCTTTTGTCATTGTTTACTTTTTAGAACAGGGATTTATCGTGCAGTTAATCAGAAATAAACTCAGTTCGTTTTTACGTTTCTGACGTTGGTTGGCTAGCGACATGGAGGGAGAAGAAAAGGCTGACGATGATTATCCACCCTGCTCCGTCAGCACACTGCCTGTCTCTAAGCCCCCTTCCATCGAAGATTTCGTTGTGATAAAGCCGATCAGCCGAGGGGCTTTTGGAAAAGTGTATCTAGCGAGAAAAAAGGGCAACTCAACATTATATGCCATCAAGGTAAATTTTAGGTCTTGTAACTATTTTGCGCGATTACATTACTGCCAACGTTTACCCAACGAATATCTTGCTCTTGTAAATTATTATTGTTGTTTTTTAAGGTAGTGAAGAAGGCAGACATGGTGGACAAAAACATGACCGATCAAATGAAGGCAGAGAGGGACGCCCTGGCTCTTAGCAAAAGTCCGTTTATAGTGCACCTGTTTTACTCTCTTCAAACGGCTACTAAAGTCTACCTGGTAAGATGCGCTGTTTTGTCCTGCATAGTGAAGTCACAGTGAGAGTGACTGAAATATACGAAAGAACATGTATATATAATGTTTGTCTTGTGTCCTTTGTCTCTGAGGTGATGGAGTACCTCATCGGTGGTGATGTCAAGTCTCTTCTTCACATCTATGGTTATTTTGATGAAGACATGTCAGTGAAGTACATCTCGGAGGTGGCTCTTGCTTTGGACTATCTTCACAGGCATAAAATCATCCACAGGTATCGGAAGACGGTGCACTCTGTGCTGACATCCTAATATATAGGTCTGGTTTGTTTTCTGTGGACGCTTCCTGAAATTCTTATCGTCCATTTAGAGACTTGAAACCAGACAACATGCTTGTGTCCAACGAGGGACATATCAAGCTTACGGACTTCGGCCTCTCCAAAGTCAAGCTTGATAGAGGTCGGTGTACACGGTCGGATTTTATTCTTCTGTGTAGAATATCAACATTTTACTGTGGTTTTTCTTTCTATTGACCCTTCAAGTTAATAATGTATTGATGATACATTATTACTAGATTTTATGTGGTTTAAATTCAGTCCCCCCTAATTAATTACCACTGATCTGGTACCTGGACACCCTCAAGATTAATTTTGCTACTAAATTATTTTGAACCCGATTCCACTGTGACAGAATACTCCTCCCGTGATGTTACGTAACAATTTGCTTATGATAAAAACATGCTATTTGATGTTTTTGAGTCATATTTGATTAACCTTATTCTTTAATTATTCAGTATGGCTAGCACTAATGCAACTATAGAAAGACCTTGGGGAGTGTAGCATGTTTATTTTAGCCATCATCCTGACAGATCTGTGTTTATAAACAATGCATGTAATTTATGCAGTTCATTAGCTGCAATCTTCCATGTTTTTGAACTTCTTCCTCAGAGCTGAGACCGGCAGACATCCTGACGACACCTTCGTTAGTGAAGCCCAAGAAAGATTATTCCCGTACTCCCGGTCAAGTCTACTCCCTGATTAGCTCCCTTGGCCTTGTGAGTACTTGTGTTTTAGGTGTGAATATAAATAAAACCTTGTAACAAACCGTGTATATATTATGGCATGCTGTCGTTAATCATCAAATATTTTAAGTCTTTGGTAACAGCATGTATATATGATCTACCTTTTTTATTATTATTTTAAAGAACACGCCAGGGATGGAGGCCAATTGTCGCAGGACCTCCTTTGGCATGTCCAGCCCCATGTCTTGTGGTAAGACACAGCAGTTCAGGAGGTCCTTCTACTCACCTGTGTTGAAGAAAGCACCTCTGGACTCCCCAGCTTGCTCAGCCCGGACACAGCACGGCTCCCGTGAGTGCTGACGTCCGGATCATAGTCTGGTTTTAGGCATTGGGGTGGGGGAACTAATTCTCAAATCAAGCTGGTACCTGGGCCTTGGACATCAGCTGTGAATGGTTGCCTGGGAAATTCCTGGGTTCCCTGCCCTCTTGCAGCAGGGCAGAGTCCTTCACGGCAACTTCTCAACAAACCGAAAAAACCGAAGTGTCGGCATTAAAGCTTTAGGTCAGACATGGTCTTGTGTTTTGGTTTCTCTTTCAGGTGTGTTTAGTCCAGCCATTCTGGCTAAGAGTTTGACTCCACGGCTTCTAAAGTCTAGGAAGCGGTTTGGGACGTCGAGTGCCAGCAGTCAATCCTGCCTCTTCCCATCCACCACGGATTCAGAGGCCTGCGTCAGCCCACTGTGGGAGAATGAGCAGGTTGGTGCTATTGCGTGCATGCTGGGAATTTGAGTTCTCCTGTGTGAGATGCATCCTTTGTCAAATTTAGGTGTGTTTAGTTAATTTGTCACTTTAGTATTTTTACAGAGGTGGACTTTTCAGGTCTAAAAAGTAAAAAACTAGACCAGTACGCAACTGGTTGGCTGAAACAAAATCTTGGACTGTGTTTTTACTTTCTGGACCTGAAATGTCCACCTCTGATTTTATGAAATTAGTGTTTGAACTAGTACTGTCAAAATTAACACATTAATTATTGTGATTAATTTAACATAATTAATGTGTTAATGTGATTAATGTCATGGCACAGTGTATTATGGGGCAGCCATAAAAACCATTTAAATGGTTGCAAGAGACACTTATTTTTGTACTGTTGTTATCCTTGTGATTATTCTACATTAATTTGGTGATTGATTTTTACATTTAAATATGCATCATAGCAAGTTTTTGTCTTAAGAAGAAAAGTTTTTAATTGCAATTTATTCATTGCATAATGTGCGATTGACAGCCCTAATTTGAACTCATTCACATTTTAGAAATTTGTTTTGCTTTCCTTCATAAAGATTAGATAAATATAATACATTTAGAAGACCCTTTAAATAAACTATCCCTGACTAATACTGAATAAATCAACACGACAAGTTGGTGAAATATTGAGGGAGTGGTGATGTTTTTGAAGGAAATCAAGGATGTGGAGAACCTGCTGGAGAGTGATGTATTTGACAAAGGTGGCAGACCGGCGATCTTGACCAGTTTGCTGGGAAGGAGGATGGCCAGTGACTTTCACAGGCCGGGTCGAGATCCAGCGCTCTGTGCTCTGGACAACATTGACATGAATTTGTGTCAAAGGGGACAGCCGGCACCTGTGTCTCCAAAACCGGAAAACAGTGCCAAGCTGGAGCCTTTGGCGGCAAGGAAGCTGTCGTCATTAGTGAAACTGATAGGCGAGAGAGCTTCTCCCACAGCCAGGGAAAAAGGAACGCTGGGAGTCCTGGAGAAAGCCGTGGGCAAAGCGTCCATGAAAAGAAGGTTCGAGCAGTTGGAAAAGAGTCCTGATCAGTACGAGGCACGAGCTAAGAAGAGCGACGACTCATACAAGCGCTGTTTTCAGATCCCGAAGAGCAGCAGCTTCAGCACCGGCCTGACAGCGGTGTTTGCCACCGTTCAGGTCAGCGCGTCTCCAGCGGATGTGGAGTCAAAGCAGTCTGGACCAGCTTTCATGGTGAAGAACCTGTTGCACGAGCTGGACGGGCCGTGCGAGGGTGGTGGTTGCAGCACCGGCGGTGAAGTGACTGCAGACTCCAGTTTTACATTCATTGAGAATGATCGTGAGGACATGGGTCCAATAAGGAATTTGAGCCTAGACTCTGATGACTCCCTTCAGGACATGTCCATCATTCCTGACAACGCGCAAGTCGCGGAGCTGGATGGCGCGAAGGAGTTGTCTGAGCAGGCTGAGGAGAAGGATATCTTTTTGAGCTTGCAGGACTGCTGCACCTCATCAGGGGTGGTGACCCCCAGGCAGCATAGAGAAGAGCGGTCCAGGGATCTCCTGCCTGTGGAATCCAGCAACTCTTCACCATTCCTCAAACCCCGGAATGTGGTGGCCTTCAGGAGCTACTGCAGCGCCATCGACCGGTCCACCGCATCAGGCTGCTCGCGCCGGAGCATGGGCTCTGTCGACATGATGGACGTCTCCAGTTCTGCCTCCTTCTATAGTTTCCCTGCGGCGGTAACCCCGGTACAAAAGAGACGGGGCCCCAGTTCCCGCAGCTCGCCGTACCAGGTGGGAGGCCAATTTCCAGAAGTTTCTGTACTCTCCAGTACTTCAATGTGAATGTGTGTCTTTCCATGGATCAATACAAGGTTTTTTATGTTGGGGGGGTTTATTAGACGCCACAGCAGACGACCAGTCACACCCCTTTTAGGACCCCAAAGAGTGTCCGCAGAGGGCCTGAACCTGTAGAGGGGGGCCCGCTCCTAGGGACCCCTGACTATCTGGCCCCGGAGCTACTTTTGGGAAAACCTCACGGTAAGTGGAAGGGAGCTTCCTTTAGCCCTGTTCCAGACTCAGATCAAAACATGCTGCCATTGTATACCTTGCAGGGGTGAGTTTGCTGTTTCTGGGGTCCCACTGAAAACATCACTTCAGTGTTCCCTGCCAGCCCTAGTGTAGTCACTATTTGTGGCCCCATGCAAATGTATGGCTTGAGTGGTGGTAAACAGCACCACTGCCTGCTTGTACTGTATGTGTTGTTTGGCTTGTTTCGTTTTGTGGGAGGCCCTGCGAGAAGTTTGATACTTCTCCTCTCTAAGTTTCAGGGTCCAGTCACGGTAAGTACGCAGCTATCAGGTTTGGTTGCTCAGTGCATGTTTGAGACTTCTCTTGCTGCAGGACGTTTTGCCTTTCTGCATTTTCTGTTTAATCTACACCCCCCCCCACCACCATATTATGGGTCATGCTGGGTCCGCAGCCACCTTCAGGTGTGGCCAGTAACACCTTAAAACCCTCATCCCTTAGGGTGCTGTCACAGGCGATTGGACCCATTTAACTACAAGGCAGTCGATTCACTTCCGAGTGAATCGTTCATTCGTTCATTTCGTTTTAATCTCCTAAAATCTGCTTGAGGAAACTTTTCAGTGCTCTAAGATGCAAACTAGTGTGGCAATGCTTAATAATAATGAATAACAGTATTCAAATAATGCAAAATTACCTTAATTAAACTAATTTGTAGCTTTAAGCACACTCGGCTCAATGTGATGTTAACGTATATGTATCAATGTGAATTTGTGTAGATTTTTAACCAATTTCCATAAGATTATTATTTTTTTTGTAATTGGCGGGGGGGCCTGAACAAAATGAGGATGACAAATTCAAACATTTTTGCTGCCATTGTTTCAGACTTCATGGTGGACTGGTGGGCCCTAGGAGTGTGCCTATTCGAATTCCTTACCGGGGTGCCCCCATTCAATGACGAAACTCCACAGCTGGTGTTCCAGAACATTCTTAACAGGGGTGGGTTTCCCCTTTTTCTTATCTCTGACTATGGCTTCCTGTTGGTGTAGATGACAACCTGTCTATTGGGGAATTTATACAGTTAACAAAGATGTCAGCTTATTCAGTGTGTATTTTTCATGGATTCCGATCATTAAATGCCATCTAAGACATTCCCTGGCCGGATGGTGACGAGGCGCTGTCACAGAACTCGAGGAGCGCCATAGAAAGTCTCCTGACGACAGACGTCACCAAACGGGCCGGCCTTAAAGGTGACCACGACTCCTTCAGATAAAAAGCTCCTTGACATTGGTCTCTAAACCTTACCATGCGGTCAGATGTGTTGAGAGCTCTGATTGGATGTTTGTGAGCTTAATAATAACTTTTGTTCCAGAGCTGAAACAGCACACACTGTTGAAAGGCCTGGACTGGGACAACCTGCCGAACCAGCCCATGCCGTTTATACCTCAGCCGGACGACGAAACAGACACCTCTTACTTCGAGGCAAGGAACAACGCACAGCATCTGTTCATGTCCGAGTTTAGCCTGTAGGGGAAGCCACCCCTGCTCACCACCTGCCCTCCTTGTTTGGTGGCTGGTGGGGGGCGGGGCGGGGGGCAGCTCAATGGAATGTGTTGAGTCAGTTAGGATATATCTGTACCTATAGTTTAAATCACTAAATATGCAAAAATACAGAATGAAGGTGTTCATCAACGCTCAGGAATCACTGCTGCTCCTCTGTTATGAAAAGATGCTCGCTCTACACTAGGGATGCCTGAGACTGACCCAGGTCTACGCAAGCTAGGCAGGTCACTAAGTGGTTGGTTTTGTCTAAAACTCTTAAATCATTAACTATTTCTGTGGGTCTTCATTATGCATGTTCGGTCTGTTGGTTGCTTCATGTTTTAAACATTTTGTGGGGTTTATGGCTTAGCCCGTGCTGATGTGGTTTTAGACTGATTTATCGCTGGTCAGGCATGCGGCTTCTTTTGAAGCAATAATGTCTTTTATTTATTTTCTCTTAATTTTATTGTAACACATGGCTGCTGCGTCTTTATAAATTCACTGTAAGCCTCTTAATGGCATAATTCAGTTCTCATTTTATTGCAGAAAATGAATAAAAGGTATGTAGCATTTAGGAACCTGTTTTTCCCACATTTAACGAAAACAGCATCTAACCAGACTCACTGAGTACTTGGAAGTGAATGTTATGAAATCCGATAAAAAATATCCAGCATCCCCCTGCAACTCATATAGGAATTATTGTGAATTATAAGTAAACAAATGTAAAATCAGACATCTAGGACATCTGGTTAACTGAAAGCGAGGGATGCGTGTGGCATGTTCTGGTGTAATGGCCCCTGAAGATGAAGCTCAAGGAAATGAATGGAAAACTAGCTGACAAACCCCCATTCCCACCGAACAGACTGGTGCATGGAGCACCATTCTTCATGGAGAGGTGTCAACAGGCTCGGACCTGAGAGGCTATTGGCTGAGCTGTTAGGACACCTGGGCGCTACAGTTCACTGATTCCAATCACAGTGGGTTGTGTAGCCCTGCTGCCCATCATTACTAATTCATTAATTGGCTGATTTTCTCCAATAAGGAATCACAGTGCACAGATGATTGGTTAAGTAATCACTTTTGTATTTGACACACTTTACTCACTTGTTAGATTTCCAGTCTTGGGAGAAAATGGCCAACTTCCCTTGATGACTAATACTGACCACATAATACTTTGTGTGTGTGATACAGATTTATTGGGTGCCTGCTATTTTTTTTTTTCCATGTGCATACCATTATCAGAATTCCATATTAATGTTTTATTTATGTATTTTAGGATTTTTTTTTTTTAAATGAAAGGTGAATTGTGACTGATGGACAAAAAGGCTCTCAGTTGAAGCGTAATGAACAAACGTACATAGAGCAGTAATTTTATAAACTGCTTTTTCTTGATATTCGGCCTTGTAGTACATTCATGTTGTAAATTGTGTGTGAAGTTGGTATTTTCTAACCTGTCATTTTAAAACGTGTTTAACCCTGCTGTTCAAATTTATTAAAACCTTTAATTAAAACTTTTGAATTATAAAAGGTGCTACTGATAGGTTTTTGATTATAACCAAAGCTCTGCGTATCCTAACTAAATAGTCGCCCGATTAGGTAATACATATACAGGAATTTTAAAGACGAGCGCTACTGCAATACAACTATAATGATCAGAAGCCATTTGTTTCCTGCAGGCAAAAAAAAGGTAGAAAATTACCAGGTGGTTCAAGGAAATTTTATTCATGCTTCAGGCTGCACTAATCTCATGCTAGCCGCCCCTTTCTGAAGGCAGAGAGAGAGAGAGAGGGAGGGAGAGATGTAGTTCATTTCAACAGAAACGCACTACAAGCATCACTTAAAGGGAGGCTTTAAATCGATACATCTCCACTGCCAATGCAAATCTTATATTACACAAGTATAAATGCTCATACTCTGCTAAGTCAACAGTAAAGTGCAATGAAAATATTGCACCTTGTTTTAGAATCAACTGTACAGCTATTAACAGTAATTAACGCTAAAAGAAAAATTATGTTTTAAATCTAAAACAGTATTAAAGACACTGCAGAATCGTATTGCCCGTTAGGTTCAATCTGCCACAGCCGTTTTACCCACTGCTGTTTTTTGGGGGGATTTTACAAGTTTCTTAAATCAGTATTTAAGAAATGGACTTTAACTGAAAAGTACTGGGAGAACAAAAACGACATACTGTTGTCGTCTACCTCATAAAGCATCCCCCATATCCTGCCCCAGATTCATCACATCTTAGCAGAAATAAGTCCAGTAGTACATCTGCTATTAGGATGATAGCGATCATCCAGATATCACCCAAAACAAACTGGTTTAAAGAACGATTCAAAAACCGTTCAGCCTGAAACCAATGACTGACCACAGAGGTCCTCTCACATCCCCCTCCACATACAGACATTTCCCCATTTTAATTCTCTCCAGCCCAAAGCCGTACCGGCCCACAGAGCCTCCTCCCCACCCATAATAAATAGACACCGATCGGATCGAATGTACCAGCTTATCGAGACAAGCCCCACTTCGCATTTAACTGCAGAAATGTTGGTACGTTAGCAGCAATGTCAGCGAAACTTCAATAAAATGCTGCATTTTGTTCCCGGCGCAGCTCGTACCCACGACCATACAGCAGCTGCTGCAGGACCATAATGCCCTTTTAACGTTTTAACGTTTTTTTTTTTTTTTTAAATCCCTTTTTTTGCATGCTTTAAAAAAAGTTGGAAATCAAAATTAGGGCCATTATTCTGTTAACGTTGCTGTGATCAAACCATGGAAACCAAACATCTCTACTTCCAATCTGTCAACTACCATCTCAAAGAAGGAAAATTAAAAGATGTAACCAACTACCTCTACTTCTGTTTACAAAAGCTTGCGTGATTATGATTCGCAATTCCGTACATTCCCGTTTTTTCCCCACCCCATTGTAGGAGGATCTGTTTTTAGTTTATCTAGGTGCTAAAGTAGTCGACATGTTACTCATAGTGTGGTCATTTTAGTGCAAAAGCTAAGGTTAGACGAGTGATGAAGCGGTGACCAGCTACGCCTCGCAGGGAAAAGACGACCCTGAAGCTTTCATCCCGGGACGGGTCCTTCCTAGGCGATGGGCGGGACATGTGCTCAGTTCATTCTTCTGCAAGGAAGAAGAAACAAATTAAACAGAGGTGTACGGCTCTCTGTCCATGTCCAGAAGGTCGCCAGTTCAAATCGTAGCCAGCAAGGCCCATACCCGCCCCCCCAGTTGCTCCTTGGATCATCCCTGCTTTCACAACTGCACAAAAGTGTCTGCTAAACCAACATAACGCAATTCTTCTTCACAGGAAGCATGTCAACAACCCATCTAACCACCTTTCCTCCATATCACTTCAGGTGGTGCCTATCCCAGGATGCCCTGGGAGTAAAGCAGAGGTTCCCACTGACCCTGAGGGGCAACTCAGATGCCAGTTCACATAGCTACCCGACACTATTTGTTCACCTCTACAAACCCTGATAAATGGCCCACCCTGTCCTCTTAATGTGCTTTTATTATTATGTTTCTTTTTTACTGGGGTGTGGTCTCCAGCCCCAAGTCCCCCCTCCCCCACATTGGCGGACCGGGTCATGCAGGCGTGCCGCCACACTCACCGTCTCCTCCGCTGCATGTAGAGACGCATCAGCCACTGTGCCAGAAAAGGCCAGAGCACGGCAAAGGCCACCGTCGCCGGGGAAACGTCAAAGGGCCACCATGACGGCTTCTGCAAGGCATCACTGCAGTGACGCGTTTGTTCGGTACTTATTGGTAAACGGAAGGCAGAAGTACTGCTAGAAGCTTAATGTCATCATTGACAGTCTGGACATGACAAGTCTTTCAAACCTATTTAAATCCGTTAAAATCATATTTGCCTACCTTATTTGCAGGTGGCGATGGATAATTTGGTTGAAATGCTAATGACCTTGCCTTTGGAACAAAGGAAAAAATAAGGTGATATCTAGACATAAAACACAATATTCAAAAACTGCACTGTCTTAGTAGTTATATAAAGAGGTATAAAAAGTAGAATCGAGTTCTACTTACACATTGAATACATTCAATTGAAAGAGGAATTATCCTAAAGATCAATTTAAAAAAACTCATGAAATCCTATCACAAGCACATTCTTATTAAGATGTACAATGGCATTCTGGACCACTTGACAATACATAGTCTTAGACTATAAAATATACTATAAACTAATGTATTGCTTGGCTGTATGACTCAAACAGTAACACTTTTCACATTCACATAAATCTGAAGAAATGCAGGGCAAGTGCCTTTTCTCAGATGATACTAGAGCCCCTCTTGGGACTTGATCCAACAACCTTCCAAATAAGTCCTTAATTGCTATGCCACCCCCTGCCCTCACCTGAGTGGCGGTGAGGGCCTCCAGCGTGTGCAGCCGCTGCAGCACGCTCTGCATGTCCTCCTGGAGCCGCGCCAGGGCCGTAACAATCTGCTCGTTCAGGCTGCCGGCGGCCCCACCCTCGGGTCCCCAGCGCTCGCCGTCCCCGCCGCCACCGAGCAGTCCCCCGCGGCCCCCTTCGCCAGGCAGCCTGGAGCCTAGCGGAGAGGAGCCACCACGTCAGATGCAGATGCTACACTGAAGCTTTAACTGCTAAGGAAGTCGACCGGAGGCTTACTCTTTCCTCTCCTGCTGAGCGAGGTGTCCATTTGGCCTGCGCTCAGCCTCTCCCTGGGGGGCCCGCCCCACTGGGCACCCCCGTCCTCGCCGCCATGCTGGACCCCATGTCGGTCAGGGCCCCGCTGCAGGTCGCCCTTCCCTGGCCAGTCTCCCAGGGCTTCGGGCTCTTCTAGGGTGCTGCTTGTTACCGCAGAATGGCTAAGGGCGATTTCAGAGCCCTGAGGAGACAAGCGGCAGCCCCCAGGTTACAAACGAGATCTGTTCCCTAAGTCTGACTAAGTCAAACTTGTATGCAAGTCGGAACAGGTGCAGTACATATGGTTCATATTTAGTGTCAGTTAATCAAATGTTTGTCTCAGTATATAGTAAATATTTTACCCTTCTATGCATATAAAACACTTAATCATAATATAGTGCAAAATAATACAGTAATAGTGCAGGTAACGACATATAGCACTGTACCTTGAGCATATTGTAATATGTCTTAGGTTGTGTAACTGCTCAAACTGTGTGAGTATGGGTTGTTAGTAAATCGGACATTCTTAAACCAAGGATGGCGACTGCCTTGTACTCTACTAATAATCCCCCCTGCTTGTGCATGACCTACCTCCTCGAGACCAAACTGATCCATCGAGTCACAGTACACCTCGCTGTCAGAGTCACTGGCCAGATGATGGTGGCTTGATACATCCTCATTGTGATCTGGAGAGAAAACCAAGGAGATGAGAACTTGAAATGAAGTAGAAGCCACCGGCACTGGGAATCAGAGTCCATCTCGTTAGTCATTAATACCCCCTACTGGTATCAAGAAACAGAAGGTAACGAGGCATCATACATACCGCTGAGGTGGCCGTTGAGCTCGCTGCCGCGTTCCTTGACCTGGGAGGCTGGGGTGCTGTGGGCGAGCTCCTCCTCTGATTCCAGATCACCGTTGAGGTCAGACCTGGAGCCGTGTGTGCCGTTGGTCAGGGACAGCACTTCCTGTTCCATGCTGCCGTTGGGGATCAAGGGGTCGACTGATTGCCCGTTCTGCCTCACAGTCTCGGCTTCCTTCTCTGGTAATTAATGTAAACACAATAGCTGGTTAAATGCAGGTATTGGTTATCATTACTCAATATATGAATGCACAAGCTTACCAGCCACCGACTGCTCCGCCTTGGTGTTCCTGCTCTCCAGTTCGGCGCAGTCCCCGTGGTTCTGCAACGTGCCATTCATCGCCAGGCTCTTCACTATGCTTTTGGCGACGCTTTTTGGTGCTGGAGATGCCAGCATGTTCTCAAAACCTGAGAACAAGCCATCATACAAAAATTGGCCTCATTTTCCATAATATATGTATAGGAATTAATAGGATATATGTATTTAATATGAACACACAAGAAAAACTCTCAATCTCTGAATAAAGCAACAGGGTTGTAACAATTACACAAAATTAATTAGACACTCCTCACTTAACGACCAAGTTCCCTTCCAACAACGACGTCGTTAAGTGAATTAGTTGATAAGTGAGGAGCTGCTCCTTACCGATATTTCAGGCATTACTATGTCAACCATCTTTACATATTGTCTTAATGTTTTAATTATCTCAATGATTTCATCAAATTGATCAACAAAATTCTCTTCTGCTTCTAAATCTGCACTTGCCACCTCACTGCTGATACTCAGATCTCCAACCATACAAATTTATAAACAAGATATGAAATAAGCCAGTGCAGGGAACTGCAGGAACAAAACAGACTGAGGAATGGTGGTACGAGATGAGATGCTTGACGCTGAGACGCCAGGCTGCCATTTCCACAACCAAAGTTCTTGTACAGTGTACGATACCGACTGGTCAGAGGGCTGGTCCAAGGTCCAGGCAGTCGGTAAACA